AAATAGAAAATCGCGAATTTCTAAAAAGTCAGAAAATCTACGAGCATTTTATAAATATCAGAAAAAGCTCCACGATTTTCCAGATCGATTTTCTATAAACTAGAAATTAATTCCAAATTACAGTGTATTGGTATATAGGACGCGTCTGTCTGGTATTTGTGTCTCTTTTTAGCGTAATTAGGCTTCTTGGGTAGGAAGGCTACTGATTGTGTACGATTTTATGAACTAAATTTAATTTAGAATATTGAATTATTTGCCTAACAAATGATATATCAAGCTCAAATTGTAACTTTTCGATACACGTACCACGACACGCTCTGGATGTAATTAAAAGTGCCTCATTTTGAAGGCTTTGCCATCGATCAACATTAGCTTGAGTTGTATTACTATATAAGACCAGTCCATACTCCATAACGACCAAAATATATGATAAGTATATTTGTCTAATAGTCGGTCGTAGCAGTGTGGTCTCAAGATATTCCTTCTTTTACTTAGTTTGTCATTACGTATTACGTAATTGACGATTAGAACGAACAAAATAAATTAAATTTATTTGTTCGTGCCAAGTTAAATGCTGCTCCAAAACAAGTCCTAAATGTTTATGCTTTGTCACTTGTTTTAGCATGTTACCGTTTAACGAAAATGGAGGAAACGTTGCGTTCTGTCCAATAGATGAAAAAGTTATTTCTTCTGTTTTCTGTGTGTTAAAAGAGACTAACCATTTACTGGCCCACTCGTTTAAGTTACCCAAGTCATCTTGGATTGTTACGTAACATACAGAGTCATTAGCTGTCACTGTATGAAAAACAGATGTGTCATCTGCATATAGATATAACCTGCTTTTTAAGTTCAAATTAGCAATGTCGTTGATATAAATAAGAAAAAGGAGCGGTCCTAAGATTGATCCCTGGGGTACACGTGCTTCAACCGTTTCGCAGGACGAGATGCATCCTTCGACACGGGGGTACTTTCATTCAGGTCCGCCCACCATTATATGACATAATCAGAGTTGCCAGATGCTTAGGTTAAAAAAACGGAATAAAAAGATGAAAAAGCAGAATATTTTTCTAAAATAGGAAAAAAAAGCGGAAACGCATTTTGCACCAAACTCAAAAGGGTATCAAAAAACATTTTCTAGCGCTACTTAAGAAACACAAAAGAAGTACAAAACATCATTTAAACCCCAAGTTAAATCGCTTCGTAAATAAGATGGATTGCGAATTGACAACTATTTCGCTTCGATTAGATTCTAGGAACAGAGTGAAAATCAGGTGAAAACAGTAATCGATATTTTTGACTTTTGTGATCGGGAAAAGAGGATGAAAACGAAGCAAGCCAGAAATATCTTTGATGCTATTTTGTAGAGCTCGACGAGTACTACAAATAGGAGAAAAACAAAAATGATTCTACTATATAGTTTTTGTGCTGTGGGGTCTGAAAGTTGACTGTTTTTGAAAAGGGGGCTTCAAAGATGGGTTTCATACTCAAAGAGAAAGATAGATATCGACATTATTCTTTTTTTATTGGATTAATCAGCCCTTTAGCTTCATTTGTATCTATATTGCAAGAACTTTTTGTTTTGTTTTGCCTTCAGGAAAGGTGAAATACTGAGTGCCAGTTTTTCATTTTCGGTCATTTTATGATAGCTGGCCTGCCCTTGTAAAAAGACTAGGACATATTTTACGTATCAGTACTTATACTACTCGAACTGCGCATTCATATGGTATATTGAGCGTCGATACTAACTCTATTGATGTAGAGAAAAACAAGATGAAAGTCGCTTCACTATAAGAGAGGATGAAACTTGACATCCCCGAAAAGGATGAAGCATATGACTTTTTTAGCAAACAAATATGGGATTCTATATAACGTTTTATGCTCTACACGAGAAGAGTCTTGAAATTTTTTCGGCTATTAATGTCTGTATAAATTGGGCGGACCTAAATGGAAGTACCCACGAACGCATTGCATCTTGTTTGACAGGTACGATCGAAACTATTCAAGTAAGGGATCTTCAACCCCTAAGTGCTCTAATTTCAGTAGAAAAGCATCGTGCCATACGGTATCAACGCTTTCGTTATGTCGAAGAAAACACCTCTTACAGAATATCCTCTGTCTAACGCTAAGTATAGATGATGTGTAATTGAGATATTGAGATAGGTTGATTAATAGTACTATCTCCTTTCTTAAAGCCAAATTATTTAATGGTAATAAAGTTCTTAGCAAATTCTAGACGATAATATACGACCTACGGAGCTTTGGATATTGCACTCGAGAGAGATATTGAACTATAGTTTATTTTGTGTCACTTATCTTCGTTTTTAAAAATAGGAACAGCGACGTACTGCTTCCATAACAGCGGAAAGTAACTGCAATCTAATGAATAGTTTAGAAGATCTGATAAACGTTTTGATAAGGTGTCCTTACATGTCTTTAAAATAAAACTAGTAATGTTGTTCAAACCTGGTGATTTTTTGTTTGATGGTAGTACCATCCTCTACTCCTCGTAGATCAGACATACTAGTGGGTGTGAATATTTTGGTTGGTATCTGTGTTCAACTTCAAACCATAAAGGAAATCAAAATCTTTTTGTTCTTTTGTCATTTAGAATACTGCAATAGTACAGAAAAAAATACCCCAAAACCAGCCCAAAGCCTAGCTCTACTAAGCAAAAACTTTTGCAGCCAACCAATGAGGAAAATTTGTCACCCAGAAGCATATCTAGCCGAGTAAGAAATGAGCAAAGTGTTTCTTTTCATCCTGGACAGGTACTGTTTTTCGGTATTTTAGTGAAAATTAAGCCTGAAAAGATTACCGCAGGGTGTCCGCTAAGTAACCATATTGGCCATATTACTACGGCAATGTTCTCTATAAGGAACGCATTTTCTCTAAAAGTAGACAGGGCCGAAAAGAGGAGAGTAGATAAATGTTTCTTAATTGATCATTATTCAAAAATATGACAGTTATTTTCTTAATATACATTAGATGTCGCACACATATTTGCATTATGTCATGATTCGATGTTCTATTATTGGGCACAATTCATATACTAATTCAGATTTTGAAAATTGCATAGAAAAACAAACCAAACATACATTGAGTGAATTCTGAGGTGAAACTTGATAAATTGGAGAGGGCTTGGCTACTGATTTTAGTACAGAGTGTCACCAAAAGCAATCGGTTTTCAGATCCCTGTTCGTACATTTTTCTCTCAATACATTACAGACTCTGATAAAGGTAAAGACTTTTAATCAAAAGGTCTCTGGTTCGCTAACTAGACTGAAAATTCGTTTTGTTAGTTTGTCTAATTCGAGAGCGACACACTACGCTGAATGTAGCATGAGATACGAGTTTGGAGAGGATGTAACTTCAAAATATCATCCCCTCGATTCCAATGCGGAGGTGTACATATCGTTTCAGATTACGCTGATGTAATCTGAAGATTTTCAACAGATGGAATAAAGCGTTAGAAACAAATAAAAGCCCAACAAACATGTTACTGTTGAAGACCACAAACCAGAAGCACTCGCTTATGATTTCTATCCAACACGTCAACAAACACAACTGATAGTAGTGCGTGGTTGGGAAAACCACAAGGACGTAGTACTGTGTAGCCGTGAATGATTGATTAAAATTGCTTCAACTTGTTATGTGGATAAAAGATGGTAGCTTTCCGCGTACATACTAAAGCGAGGAGTAAGTCTCTATTCAGTATTTCTACCGTATGCTTTTATGCTGTTCTATTTTCTCTCTAAAAAAAAACATGGATATTTCTTTGAAATTCTTAACGGGCAACGTCAAAAGACCAAGTGTCAATTTCTTTGTTGAAGATAGCGCGAGCAATGTATTTGTTTTTCGCTCATATTCCAATGAACTTTTAAACACATGAGCAATCAAGCTCGAGGTCAAGTTTTTAAGAAGCAAAACTAACTGCGTTAGTTTACTATTTCACAATCACTACGACATTTGGATAATGCGATGGATTAGGTGATGAATATTATCCTATAATTGACTAATGAAGCTAGTGATTCATACTGAAACATTGTCGAATATTAACTATCTGTTAATATTACACAAGTTTTGATAGTGATAAGGAAAGATGTTGACAGTAGATGAAGTGACAGTAAACTTAGATCTTTTAGCAATGAGTATTCCAATATGATGAATCTTTTAATCACGGTTAGGTGCTGAGTTCTTCTACATCAAAATATACGTTTACGACTTATAAAACCTCAGAAATTGACGTATTGGATGTCTTATTTGAGTTGATTCTATGCTCAGGAAGTATGATCTAAATTTGCTTACGTATAGCACCAACAAGATGATTATAATGTTGCAATCATGGCATGTAAAGCATTCCTTCCTCTTAACATGTATTAAGTAGTAGAAGTGTGCGCAAGCTTTTTGATGCTAAAAATATCCAAGAGATTTTTGTAGCATAGTGTCAAAGATATTCGTGTAACGACGCTGCTAATTTCATCATTCCTAATACATTGTAAATAGATAATGTTATTTTAGATGTTATTTTGAATTCATAAAGAAAAATGGAGACCGGTCAACCCAATAATACAATCTATGTAAATAATTTGAATGAACGTACGTAAGCCTATTCATTTATTCTTCCTTCATTGTATAACTATTCTTACATTTAGGTGTCAAATTAAATGAACTAAAAAAATATTTATTTGCAATATTTTCAAAATTTGGCACTATACTGGATATTGTCGCTTTGAAAAACTTACGTATGCGTGGTCAAGCGTTTATAATATTCGACGATGTCGAAAGTGCAAAAAAAGCATTAACATCAATGCAATCATTCCCTTTTTATGAAAAACCACTTCGTATACAATTTGCTAAATCTGATAGTGACATAGTTTCAAAGCGAAAGGGCACGTACCAAGAAAGACCGAAACGTCGTACAGACAATGATCAGCCATCAATATCAAAAAAAGAAAAACGTCGACAGCAACTAGCGTTGAAACAAGAACAACAACGTTTACTAAAACAACAAATGGGTCAATATGCAGCAATGCCACCGATGGCAGGCATGTTGCCAGCTGGTCTTCCGCCTGGTATGCCTTTGTTTCCTCCACCACCAATGATGCGTTCCGTTTTACATCCACCAATATTTGGTGGAGAAATGCCGAATAATATTCTCTTCTTAAGTAATTTGCCAAATGAAACACCAGAGAGTATGTTGACAATGTTATTTAAAGCATACAACGGTTTTCGAGAAGTTCGATTGATCACTGGGTAAGTAATTTAGCTGATAAATTATCTTTCATCGACTAATTCACACTCTATTTGAATATTTCAGTCGTGATGGAATTGCTTTCGTTGAATTTGACACGGAACATCAAGCCTCTTTAGCAAAAGATGCATTACAAGGATTCAAAATTGGCCCGGACAAGCCAATGCAAATTACCTTTGCTAAAAAATAGACGTGTGATATTAATGTTGTTGTTTTTGTCACTTTTTTAATCTTTTTGTGCTTATTTGTTTATTGACTTGAATGTATTTTGTGTGTAAAAGTAAATGAACGATTCTTGAGATTGCTTCCAAAGCTTAAAATATTCTAGTATGGTATCTAGTTTTCTATTATGGATGTTGAAAAGAAATGTAGGAATGAACGGGATAGATAATTTATGTAATAATCTTTTATGGTTCAATATTATGATTAATACTAAAGATGCTATTGCATGCATTAAGTCTGGAATATTGGCATAATATTTTTAGATTTAAGGGTGGATCCGCATTATTCTCACTACCGTGTTGCTAATCTTCTTACTCTTTAGATTTTTGTAGAAAAAAATCACGATGACTGACATCCGTCCAAATCACACACTGTATGTAAATAACTTGAATGCAAAAGTGAATAAAAAACAATTGAGAAAAGCATTGTACAATTTGTTCATTTCGTACGGTCGTTTATTAGGCATTGTTGCAATGAAATCACCCAAGATGCGTGGACAAGCATTTATTATATTTGATGATGTACAAAATTCAACAGCAGCATTACGTTCATTACAAGGTTTGGAATTTTTTGAAAAACCACTTCGTATACAGTATGCTAAAAAAGATTCTGAAAGTATTAAGTTGATACGCGCCCAAGAAAATGCAACGGCTGCTGCTCTTGCTGCAGCTGCTGAAAAAGCAAATGCACCGAAAAAACCTCGAATTGAGAAACCATCAACTCCTGCTGAACCGACATTACAACAACAGTGAGTATTATTAAAACAATATGAAATTGGTATGCTAATCATTTTTTGGTTTTCTAGACACATTGCTATGATGAATTCAGAAGAAGTACTCCAAGCAGCTGAAATGGTAACTGTATTAATTCCAGTGTGGACAAATTTCCTCATTTTTGATTCACTTTTTTAGGCCGCTGCAGCAGAAGCGGAACTTGAACAATTACCATTGAAAGAACGTCAACGTCGTATTCAAACTGTAATTGCTGCACAAAGTACATTAATTGGAACATTACCAATAATTCCTGAACAACCATCAAATTCCACATTATTTTTAAGTAATCTACCGAATGAAACAACAAAAGAAATGTTAGAAATTCTATTTAAACAATTTACTGGCTATCGTGATGTTCGTTTAATACCAGGTCGTGAAGGTATCGCATTTGTGGATTTTGACAAAGATAAACAGGCAACAATAGCTAAAGACGCATTACAAAATTTCAAAATTACACCAACAAATTCGATAACAATTAGTTTTGCAAAAAAATAGGTTTGTTTTTTAACATGTATGTTGCCAAACTCACGTCGTTTTTTTTGTCTTGTTCATTGTGTAAAGTACATGTTTTTGAAAAAATAAAATAAAAACGTCGTCTTGTCTCTCCGGATGAGCAGATACATACACACAAATGATCAAATAGTGAAATGTCGACGAGTGATGATTTTAAGTTTTGATTATCTATTCTTTCACAGTTGTTACATTTTAGATGAAGGGTATATAGACATTTTTTTATCTTTGATATTGAAGCAAAAGCAATGGATAGTTTAGAAAATGAAAGTAATCGTCAATCGGATGAACTCGCGTCAAAAGTGGCTCGTTTGAAACATGTATGTGGAGAGATTTTATTAGAATTGTGGTGATGGTTATTGTACTTTGTTCGAGTATTGTTCACAGATGGTATCAACAAAATGGATAGCGAAGGAAATTCTTTGATTTCTTTAGTGCGCTTTTCCTTCATTGTTCTAAAACAGATTACGTTGAAAGTTGCTTTCCATGGTTTTTTGCTCCTTACGCTAATACTTGTCAGTTTTTATTTAATCTAAAACATTCTATCGGTCTCATTTTGACGAAACGCTCCATCTGAGTTTTTCTTCGAACAAAAGATCTACCTTTACAGCTGGGATCAAGTTGATGGTGCATCAACGATGCTCGCACGCTGATTTTTGTCAGTATATTTATTAATTTCTTTTTTTATCTTAGGTCGCGTACGATATCGAAAATGAAACAAAAGAACACAACAAGTTTCTTGATTCTATGGTACATTAAGTTGTTGATTCAATTTTGTCAGATTGAATATCTTATAATTGTTTTTCTGTTTATTTTAGCGTTTTGATTTTGATACGGCTCGAGGATTTCTTGGTGGAAGTTCGCGACATTTAAACACTGTGATGACATCGGGTCGTGGTGATCGACGTACTATGTGCTACATTATTGGTGCAATTATCTTAGCATTTATTTTTCTCTATTATGTTTTGAGCTCATTTCGAAGTAGGTGATTGTCATTTGTATTTTATGAGAATGCTTTTCTTTTTCTTTCTTTTTCTATTGTTGGAATGTCTCATGTTGTTAAAACGGAACAAACCCATTCTTCGACAACAAAATTGTTCTGATCGCATACTCAGTTATTTATAATTCTTCCAAAAGGATTTCTATTTCACTATTTTTTATCGGCTCTTTCTTTTTTCGCTAGTAACAAGACTTAAAGTTTTATCTCATTGCTAAAGCGATTATTATTGTAGTTTTTTTTTTGTTTATAATAACGTAAACATGTAAAGCGAATGTTTTTATTCTAAACTTTGTTTTTTTGTTAAATAATTGAACTAATCTTAAATCTATTTGCGCAAATTTAGTATAACAAGCGATATGATGAACCTAAAACAGAAGATCGAATCAAGAAGTTATTGCAGATAACGACAGAAATAGTTGTTAAGAACTCTATGTAAGAGGTCTTGAAACATCCAAAACTATTGTGCGATGTATGATATGCTGCATCCAACTACCTAATTCAGTTGATGGAACTGCTTTGTCGACCATTACGATCATATCTGAAATTATTACTATTAACTGAAAAATTGTAATTGTAAATTTACTATATTCTCGCTGCTTTCATCTGTTCGATCGCGATCAAGGTCTCCAGACTCATTTCAACAAATCAATACACAATCAATTGCAAATTCATTTTTTTGATTGTTTTAAACAAGTCAGCTTTTGTCAAACCATACGGACAAATGTTTACTTTCACACACACACACACACACACACACACACACTAGTAGACAGCTGAAGATTATCTTGTACTATTTAATATTATGTACATTTATTAAAAGTTTTCATGAACATCCGATCTAAAAGAAAAAACGTTTTTGAATTGGAAATTGCCTAGAGATGAGATTCTTCCGGAAAAACCTGAAAATTTCCTTCATAGTAGGTAAATTCCTAAAAATTGTGTAATTTTCAGGTAGTATGTCGTGACTGCACTCGAATTTCATAGGCAGGCTTTTTTTATTTACTTTATATCAAATAATTTTAATCTCGAATGAGAATTGTTTCAATTCATGCTTTTTTTTGTTGAATTTATTCTCGTTAGGCTCTCGTGTTGAAATGTGCTCACCCAGTCTGGTATAATTTATGCAAAAATAGTTTGTTTACTTCTTTTAGGTAAAACATGACGGTCACATTGATAGTGGGAAATAAGGAAAATTTTTGTTTGCTGATTCATTAGTTTTGAGATCTTGTAAGAGGTTCATTCTTTGATTAGAATACGCGTGGCTTTAAAAACATATATATATCTGCATGTATCTTTTTTTGCTGCTATATTGTGTTCAATCATCGCACACTAGTGTGAGATAATGTCTCAACACATAGAGTAGGTTGAGGTAATTCGGGACAGCATCTCTAATTTTCACAGCATTTTGAGCGTACCTGGAGCATTTTTACTCGGGAAAAAACGAACACTTCGTAGGTGGATAGACCGAGCATTTCTCTATCTACTAATGTAAAAAAATTTAAAAAAAAAGAAACGGGACAGTCAGTGTGTCTCGCTGGGGTAATTCGGGACATTAGATAGGAGCTCTCTGGAAATTGATGAGTACTAATTAATCTTATTGAACTTTAATAAGATTTTTACATTAGTAGATAGAGAAATGTTCGATCTATCCACCTGCGAAGTGTCGTTTTTTCCCGAGTAAAAATGCTCCAGGTACGCTCAAAATGCTGTGAAAATTAGAGATGCTGTCCTGAATTACCCCAACCTAGTCTAATTGAGAGATATATAGTATCTTGTTAGCAGATAAATCTGTCAGAATATGTAGAACGGTAAAAAAATTCACGCAAATGAATATGGCTTATTAACAAAAATTGGTCGAAACATCGAGAAAAGTATTTTTCTTTTCTCCTGAAATTTTTTTGACATTGATCTGGAATCTTGACTAGAAATTACTTTTTTTAAGACTCACCTCTACATTATGATTTACGAGGCGTACTGGTCAATTAAGGAAAGAGGAAGCAAAATTTTTTGGGTTTCTCTAGAAGCTATCAGAAGAGTGATGATGATTCTAAAACGATGTTTTGCTGTATCCGTTTTTTTATTCTCTATTTCACTTTATTTACTTTGGCCAATCTTCACCATTACAACATTTTCTATAATCGTCTGGTAAAAACTCCATATGCCTCCTATCGAATTTAATGCAAGTTTTCCTTTTTTTGAAAAGTTTTCCATGTATTGTTCATTTTTACTTTAATTAAGAAACTTACGTCAGTTTGTCTATGATCCTAATAAAATAACTCATTTTCCATCATGCATAATATGTATGAGTCAACTTCTGGTCTTGTTACGACTAAAAATACATATTTTCCTCACAATTATGGAGTCAAGAATGTTTTAAACATTATATTTCGTTAATAACGAAATATAAGATTAGTTAACATCATTAAACATATATCTAGTGAGTTCAGTAGGGTTCAATTGTGTAAGATAAACTAGAAAAGACTGTTACATTAAAATTTCAGAAGGAGCAAAATCCTGTTTATTCAAGTGAGATTTACAATAAAAAAAGTCATTTTTGCAAAAAAACATTTCATTTTTAGTGCTGAAGTTTCTGATACGTGTGGACATTTACGAGTTAATGGTGGATTTCATTCTGAGATAGATTGTCAAAATTTATTTTGTATCAAAGTATTATCACTGTTATTTGGCACTTGTTAGCTGTACATCAAACTGTACAAAAATGCTACGCGACAAGAAAAAAATATTAATGAATGAATATTTAATTACAACATTAAATAGTAAGTATAATAAAACTCGTCTTTTCTCTCATTCCAAATAAATCTCTTCTGTCCAAAGTGCATTTGAAAACGACGTGTTATGTTATCTTAACTTTTTTATTTTTATACAAACTTTTTATGTACAAATCTCGGTGCTTCTCTCACTTTTTGCGTAGCAAATGTCTTATAAAAAAAACTGTGTTAACATCCACTATGATTAAAGGTGTTAAAAATAAACGCTATTAAAATTGAAAATACAACGGTTGATTATAGTGAAGATATTATAACGAGAATGTTGCCACGCATTGCCGTTTCAGATGTAATTTTGTTCTATGGCATTAAGCTGATGTAAAAAACGTCGAATTTTTTCATTATTTAAACGGGGAATGAACCTTTCCGGATGTTCTACCTGAACCATTGAAAACAGATAATGAATTTCTTCAAACATAAAAAAAAAGCGTAACATTTTATTAGAAATTTTATTCTAGGAAGGGTAATTGTCATCTTTCGAAATCGACAGAAAACTTCTAATAAGAAAAGGCATAACAAATATATTACTCACCCAAAATGAAATATGGTAATATTCAGCGTGCTATTTATTTCTTTTTTCTGTTTTATACAGTATCGTATTATTGTACTGCAATATGTCTGTCAGAGTTGAAAATTCTTATAAATAAAAACAGACATACCAAATGAACGAAGTATTACAGTTTCCTATTTATTATGAACGTTTTTCCAGCATATGCACATCGTCGATATTACTTCACTTTAGCAATTATTTGTCAATAATAATATTTCCATCTAGACTTAATCTCAATAGCATACTGATGGTAAACACAAATACAAGCATGGATTTAAGGCGATAAAAATGTGTTAAATATCAACCTGAAAGAGAACTTTCTACGGCACCAGCGAGTGAAAATTCAGTCGCTCGGTACTAATTTAATTTAATCATGACGGACCAACTGGTATTTCACCAATTATTTCCATTTTTTTTGGTGCTTCTACAACTGCTTATGATCGCGACCGCGACGACTATAACCACCTCCTCTCCCATGTTCTGAAAAGAACCTAAAAGATCAATAAACCTTTCACAACCTTTTCATTGATTGCCTACCTCCACTAAAATCACGATCTCCACCAAAATCTCGTCTAAAACAATAAAAACAGATTAAGGTGTGTTTGAACATTGTCTTCCCATCCATACCTCGGCCATCTTTGTGTCAGTTGAACTTTGACAACAGTTCCCAACGATGGAATGCGTTGATCTAAAAGAAAGAAATTTCTAGAGGTCATTCTTACTAGACTTTACTGCTCCTGTTTACGTACTGTTGTACTTGAAGATAGCCTTCTGAGCCGTCTTCTCATGTTCATATGTCACTGTTGCATGACCATTTCCTTCACCCGTCATGCGATCTTTAAAAATCCATATTTTTGGTCCACCACTTCGTTGATCAGACTAAAAAAGCAGATTAGAATGAATCGTACAATGAATAAGAAAATTCGATCCGGATTACTTTGAGGTGTCCAACTTCAGAGAATACATCATATAATTCGTCACGCGTAATATTTTTTGGCAGATTTTGAATGAAGATTGTGTCTTTTTGACCTTCAACCTCATCGTCATCATCTGGTTGATCACCGCCACCTAAGAAAAGGAGGTGACTTTCTCAAAATGACGAAAAGTGTAGTTTTCTGCTGGAAGAATAAAACATCTATAACTTTCCGACAACATAGCGTTTTTAAGTGAAACATTGTAAAAAACGTGTTTGTTCTACTTTTAAGCATGAAAAGAAATTTTGGAAAACCTTGCCAGTGATTGCACGTTAACAGAGGATGTCCGAGAAAACTTTTCGCTAGTGAAGTTGTAGTCAGTGGCATTCTACATAAGATAAGGGGTGGAGGTCGAAGAAAATTTTGAACAGAAGTTAAATGAAAATTGTATTTTAAAAGTTTTTGTCGTTAGAAAAGAAAAACTGTTCTGCTTATCCCACGTAGAATTTCGCAGGGAATAACTTTTGTAGCAGCAGCGCTTATGAGCTATGGTATCTATTTGTGAAAGAGTGCGTGTTCCCTAGACAAAATTCTGCGCACTTACTGTCTATTTCCTACTAGGGTCTTATAGGATCCTAACATTTCGAATCTAGCTAATAACTTCATAGCAGGTTCCTAAAAGATCAGGATCCTACTAGGATTTCGCTTAATTTTCTTTAGAATCGTAACAGAATCCTAGCAATTCCTATGACTTTCCCTTATACCTGCTTTCTTTAGGATGCTGTAGGATTTTTCTAGAATCCTGCTAAAAAGCATGCTAAATCTTGAAAGAATTCTCCCACGATTTCTCAAGGATCCTTACAAGAAATACACAAGTTTCTTACTAGACTTATAGTTCTAGTCATTTTATTTCATTCTCATGAACGTAGTTCGCTCAAAGTATCAGAATCAAAATGCATTTTTTAGCAGAAGCAATAAACATGTCCCAGGATCTATTACAGGTGTTGAAACGAGTTTCGTTAAGAAGTCCAAATTTTACCTCGTCTTGGACTTGGTGTTGTGAAACTTAGGGCTGTTGTTCGAGTGCAGGTATGTTGGGTTGTAGATCTTTTCGTTTGTTGATGCTTACGGCAACTTTCCTAAATACAGTATTGTATGTCATGTTTATCAAATACAAAATGAATTTGGAAGATGAGTTTCTAACATGAAATTCAGAAATATCAAGTGTGGAAGCGGTTATGAGCAATCTCTGAGATGTGATCGGCAGAGGAACATCTGAAAATAAAGTTGCTGTTCCAGGCCAGTGTCTCTTTACAATTCTTAAAAGGCATGGAAGTCTGATGTTTCTTCATTATGTTTATTTTCAGAACAAGATGCATCAGCAATATGAGGAAAACGAGATAGTTTTTATCAATATAGATCTTAACACTTCTCGATTTTGCACGTCGCGGCTTCGAATAGAAGTTTGTTACAATATAATCAATATCCATCCATTTTTTTGTTAATGATCTAAATGATGGTAATTATTTTTTTAACACAATTTCATAAAGTATCGGTTCGTCAGTTCTTTGCTATTTGTCTTTATTTGTACTAATATATTGAAAATGCATTTGTTCACAATAAAATGTTAACAGATCATTACTGATCAATATATCATCATCATAATTATTTGGATTTGAAAATAAAAAGCAATATTGTCAAGTACCATACGTGAATTATTGTTAAAGCCGTCTTCAGTAGATATTATTATTCGATCAACAAATGAATAACCATGTTCAATTAGTTTTTCTGCGTCAATTGTTTATAAGAAAACTTCATTAATTGATAATTATAAATCCATCGAGTATCACTCGCTGATGGGATCGCTTGTGTTGTTTTCTTATCTGATCGCTTTTTTCGTCTATTTTGTAAAATTTTAAAGACCACCAAATTGAAGAAGGGCTGCCGTGTGCTAAACTACTACTTTGTTCCATATCTGGATCCCATGACATTTTTTGGATACTGATCCCGTTGTTTATCTACATGTTGTGATTCATCATTTGTGATAGATATCACGCCATTTAAACAAGGAGGTCTAGTTCTTGGTGTAGCATGAATTGAGTTCTGTATTGTACCATTATCAATATTTATTGTTTTATCATTTTCATATCATCTGGTGTATTATAATTGTTATTAGTTAAATAATTATTAATTGAATTGTCGTCATTACCATCTAAATTAGCGATACTTCGCATTTCATTTGTCGTAACGTTGGTCGGCATGGTTAAAAAACTGGAAGCTGTTGAATTATTAACGCTACTTTCTGTTCTTGCGGGGGAGATGGATCTATCTTGAGATGGCGAGGAACAAGTATTTGGTTTATTATCTTGAATTGTTGGAGGAATACTATTTGTAGGTGGACTATCAACATTTGTTGTTGATGCAGTTGTAACTGGATCATCATCATCATCAAAAGCATTCATAAAAATACTAGATTCTAATTTAGCTTTTTTGGCAAGAAGTAAATCAAGTGGATTGGTTGTCGCTGGTGCTGAACGCCTAGTTGTACATTTTTCTTTTAACTTTTTTAATGCGGCGTCATATTGTTCAGAAATTAATGAATCTATTATTATGTTTATTAGTGTATAAAAATATTAGTACAATGTCTCTCATTTTTTTTGCAACTGTAGATTCGTGGCAAACAGGGCAACTACCAGTCTGATTACAAAGAAGCGTATTTATTGAGAGTTTTAAATTGCGATTTCATTTTGATTATTAATTGTTGTTAAATGAAGTGAAAGTGTAGATCCGTTCAGTGCTATTTTTTGCTTTTCAACAGAAATGCAATTACAGATAGAAAAAAATAAAGACAGGTATTCGCATGTCCAGAATATTTTTTCCGTTAGAAAAATACAAACGCTTGTATTTTCTAACAATACATAGTCCAGAGCTGGAACCGGTAGAGAAACGGTGAACTGGTCCGGTCCGGCCGGTTGGAATCATAACTTAAATCGGTAAAATACCGCGAAAAACTGGCGAAGGTTTTTGAAAATCGACGTTTAGAAAGAATTTTTCCCAGAAATGAAATAGTTTGCGAGCGCATGTGAGAGAATCTTCACAATAACGAGTCTGTAACATTTAACCTTAAAACAAGTGATGAAAATAATATCTGTCTTGAGCATCGTTTTATTTATTCTAACTGAAAAAAACTTGAAATTTTAGTTTTTGACGAAAAACAGGGTAAAAAGATGAGACGTTTCAAAAGTTTCTACCGACGAAATACCGTTCGCTACCGGCCAAGTTCCCGCTCTGACATAGTCATACGTAGTAGTAGAACAGAAGGAAGCAAAGAGAGAAAAGGAAAAAATAACGTCCAAAATGATCTTGTTCAATATACCCATAATGTCTGATGATGATGACTGTGGTGTGAGACTGAAGGCTAGCATTTTAATTTTGTTTAATATTCTTATTTTGTTAAGATAAAATTTAAATAGAATAAAGAGGTTTTTACAACAGTTATATTTATTTATTATTAATTTCTACCAATCGCAATAATGATTACTTAACATGAAACACGTTAATAAGTATAACTGCATCACAAACAAATTACTTAAAATACAAAAAATCACTTACTCAGGTGCATAAAAGACAGTTTCTCAGCTTAAATTTCTTAAAAAATTTCTGAGGAAGTCAACATTTTTTGAATAACTCTATCCAAACGAGGGGATGAATTTCCATTCCCTACCACCCTCTAATCGAAAACGCTGGAAGGATTAACGTATTTTCTAGAAACACTGAAAAACCGAATGCCACTAGTGCTTTTTCTTTGGGCGGTTCCGGTATTGCAAATGAATGCTGGCCTACTACGTACTACCACTTACCTGATGTATGAGTAATTGTTGTGGATCACATAAAATTTGACAAAATTTACATGGAATTTGCCCTAAAGAAGTTTGTTGTTGTTGTAGAGTACCTCTGAAACCAAATAGAACTTGATAATTTTAAAAAGTATTTTTCTAGAGTCTGATTACCTGTCTTTGTTTCTCAGTTAGGTATGCACCGGTATCGATATACCAATATCGAAAATACCCTCTTTTTTTACTAGGACTTTTTTGTCGATTTTTTAAAATGAGTTAGTTTAGCGTCCTAGGCAGGCAAAATACATAAAAAACACTCAGCTGTATCTTTTAAACATACGCAGATAGAAAACAGGAAAAATTTGGCTTTAAAAAGCGAATAAAGCTCTTGTTTTGCGTTCTGGATTCTTTCCGGGTGTCCCGGACGCTAAAATATCTCATTTCAAATGAAAAAATCCAAAAAAGTCCAAGTCAAAAAATGTTGGTATTTTCGGTATCAGTATATACCGAAGTTCGGTATTGGGATTTCGGTATGAATACCGAAAGCGGTGCATACCTATCCTCAGTCGTTCGCTTTCTACTTCCTAAAACCGAATTTAGAATATAAATACTACAACTATATTTTTATTTCTAGATCAAACTTGTTTCTTACCAGATGCGATTTGAACTCATATACTGAGAATAGTTTTCCACAGAATTCGCATGGTATTTCAACAGTTGAGTTCTAAAAAATATGGAAAGGAGGGCAGACTCTAAAATCACGATTCTTCTCCATGATATTTTTCATGTATATTGAGTTATAAATTATGGTGCTTTACGACGCGTTGAGCAATCCGACACAGTCTTAATGTCAAAAATTCCTGCTAGAAAGTTTTGTAGCCATATATTAATTTTCGAATAAGAATCATTATTTGTCATGCTCAAAGATTGAGGTTGACTGAGTTAGAGAAAAGGATTGAAGTCGAAAGTTTCACAACTTCTAAAAGCTAACGTGTTGTTCTATAAAATGGAAATTAATTGAAAGTTTTAGGATCACATCAGATACAAAATAGCAGACTCTCATCTGACCAATGATAATCATATATAGTATTTCGGATATAGAAAGTTCTTCGTTTCTCAATAACAAAAAAATATATGATCGCAAATTTTTTACGGAGATGGCTCACACATTCTTCTGTCTCATGTAATGAGAAATATTTTTCCATTCAACTGCGATGTATGACACATTGTTCGATTCGAAATTCAGTGCTGATCCTGAATTTCGCATTTGTCTTAGATTGAAGTTTTAGAGCAACTGAGAGAATTTAGAAAGAAGCAACTTATCACTGCTCCCAAACTGTCCAAAGAAATATTTTCTGTATCTTATAGAAGAATGTGTCGGTCACCTCCATAAATTTGCGATCATATATTTTTTTGTTATTGAGAAACGAAGAACTTTCTATATCCGAAATACTATATATGGTTATCATTGGTCAGGTGAGAGTCTGCTATTTTGTATCTGATATGATTCTAAAACTTTCAAATAAATCAGAATAAAGATTCTGCTGATGACCCACTGGAACTTCTTGTATAAACTAAGATCTTAACTTCTTCAATTTTTTCAGTAAGATCTTGATAAGAAAACGCAAAAAGTTAAATATCTTGAACACCTTAAAATTTTTTGAGTTCTTATACTAACATCTTGATAATTCTTGAATTATCGTTTTGTTTCACACTCTTGCTTACATATAACTTCGAAAGTTTTTCTTTCT